ATTCGATGTAAGGTCAACAAACTGACAGTTTTGGAGTACTGAACAGATCAGCCACGTGGATGGTTAAGTCCCTCGAGTTGAAGGCATGACTTGAGAAGACAGTAAAGTGGGGTCTACAGATTTTAATGAATGAGAAGCAGCAGCAGGGAAGGTAGTAATGACCGGGAAAGAGACAGTAGAGTCTGTAGAGGACACTCCTTTCTGCCTGCACAGCACTCATTCCTCCTCCTTCCACTACTACGACCCTGGTTTTGCTTTGAAAACCACCTTCTTCCTCTCCAAATGGGTTTCCAAAATCCTAGTAATATTCTGGGTGTCAATCTGGGAGAGAGGAACATCAGTTTTCATTTTATTATTTGTTAAACTGCTATTAAAGTGTTAAAGAATGTATTTTATTCTTTAAGCTCTACAGAGAGACTTCATACCCTTTGTATGTAGATGTCACAATTGAAAACAAATAAAGCCCTGGTGGAGCAGTGGTTAAGCGTTAGGCTGCCGACAGGTAGGCAATTAGAACCACCAGCTGGTGGGAGAAAGATTTACAGTCCTGGAGTCCACTGACAGCAGTGGGCGGTGGGGGGTCTCCTGGCTCCAAGGCAAGCACCTGATCCAGGTCTGGGCAATCAGTCACAAGAACTGGTTTAGGAGGCTGACCCAATTTAGGCCAATGAGACACCACCCAGGGCCTTTGCGGAACTCTCAGAAAAGAGGTGTTCTCTTTCTCCTGGAGTTGTGAAGCTTGTTTGCAGAACAGATCCCTTCCCCAGCTGGAGAACAAAGCTAGTAAGAAGAAAACAAAGCCAAGAGCTGAAAAGGGGCAGATTCCCAGCATCCTCTGAATACCTAGTTCCAGCCATTCTTGAAGCAAAATACCTAGACTTTTCAATAACGTGAGCTGGTAGACTTTCTTTAAAAACAGGATCAAGTGCTGCCTATCACATTTGAGTACATTTGCATTCAGTTTATCTACACTTAACTGAAAAGAATTTTAGCTATATTCTAATTCAGTGGAATAATCAAAATCTCAATTCAATAGCCTATATGATCCTTTCAATACTTAAGTCAAATCACACCTTCAAGACCCCGCAATGGCTCCTCATGTCACTCAGAATAAAGGCCAAAGTCCCCAGACACTGGCCTTCAGCCTCTGTTTTGACTGGAACACTATTCTCCAGATTGTTGTTGTTGTTATTTGCCGTCAAGTCAGCCCCGACTCATAGCGACCCCTCCTTGGGTTTCCGAGGCAGTATCACTACGGAAGTAGGATTGCCCAACCTTCCTTCCGAGGAGTGGCTGGTGGGTTTGAACCACCAGCCTTCTGGTTAGCAGTCAAATGCCTTAGGCACTATGCTACCAGAGCTCCTATTCTGCAGCCTCCTTCAAGTCTCTGCTCCAATCTCAGCTTATCAGTGAGGCCTACCCACACCTCCTTCCCACAGCCAGTGATCCTGAATCCCCATCCCCTGCTCTCATGTTTCGTTCTTCCACAGCATTTGTTACCTAACACAGTATGCACTCATTAAAATGTACTCAAAGAGGGCAGGGGTATTTGACTAGTCGATTCACTTGATCTATTTCCAGCACCCAGAACAGTGACTAGGTCAGAGTAGGCACTCAAATATTTGCTGAATGAGAAAAGTAAGATTGCCTGAGCCTCAAAGGAGCAGAGGTTGGTTTGCAAATATGTAGAAAGAGAAATATGCTACACTCCCACCTCCTGACCCTGACATAAGTGGACTGCAGAAGGAAGGCACATCTCCATTGTGAAGACTTCAGCGGCAGCAGTATCCTGTGGGGCAGGAAGTAGAGGTTCATTGAAGGGGTTGAGGACGCGGGGTGGGGTGTTAAGCACAGAATGAGGCCTGAGGTTAAGTTTTGGGAGGTCCACAGAAGCTAGAGGCTGATCAGGGAAGCAGCAGCCCAGAGCAGTTTACAGGTGAAAGTGAAAAAAAAAAAAAAAAAAGAGAGAGAGCTAGACAAAGTGATTTATTTACATTTTAGGTGAAGACAAAGGATATGATGATATGTGTCCTGATGAATTTAGCTGACATGAGAAGAATTAATCCTAGCAACCCCAGGCAGATAGAATGGATTCATCCCATGGCATAAAGGTTTGAACGATTTGACAAACTGTCAGGTGGAGATTTCATCACGTTCGTCTCCCTCTCCCACCTGAGCACCCAGAGGCCATCAAGAGCATCAGCCACATCAAGACACAAAGCTTCCCTGTTCATGCCATCACTCGGGGCCCAGAGAAGGCAATTCCCTTCTGCTTAACAGCTGTGCTGAGGGGTCTGCCAAACCTCATTCTCTTGACCCCAAATCCCTCTCACAACCCAATTTCCAAAAAAGAACATAGGCTTCTTTTCAAAGACATTAGCATTCAACTTTCCTACCTGCCCTCCAATGACCCACCCAGCCTGAGCAAGAGAATACTGGCCAAAGGGAAGGATTCCCTGGCCCTGACTCACCTGTTTCTTGTTAGCTTCTGATGTGCTTCTTGTACAGAAACTTCTCCAGAGTTACGACAACTTATGTGTAAGCCAAGACTCAAGGAAAATGTTACTCCGGTCAGAGAAAGAAATCCCACTGCGTAGCCTCTAAGGAAAAGTGACTTACTATAAATCAGACCCTTGGGAACAGTGTCATTTAGAAGCTCTCCAAAGCTGTTAGGAGCCTTATTAAACATTCAATAATTGATAATAATGCTCCATGACTCTCTCTCTCACAGAACTGACCCTGTGGAGGAAGCCAGCACTGATTAGACTTGGGTCTGACTTCCTGACCACCAGTCATATCTTGGTGGTGTAGGGCATGTGTCCTCCCTGTACTTAGGAGTGAAATGCTCACACTTCTGAGTCAAGTATCCTCTAAGAGTGGGATCTTAAGCAAATACTTAATATAGCTATCTGTAGAAGCCAGCCTCTAACATGGCCCCAGTGAGCCCCACCTCCTGGTAGTCACATCTTCTTCCCACACTGAACCAGAGTTGGTCTGTAATCAATAGAATATGGTAAAGATATGTCACTTCCAAGATAAGGTTATACAACGCTGTGGCTCCAGTGTCAGACAGACACTCTCAGTCTCTTGGATCACTTACTCTGGAGGAAACTGGTTGCCACGTCAAGCATGTCAGCAAGGAACTGAGGCCTGCCAACAGCTTAGAAGGGGCTCCTCCCCAAGCCAGCCTTTGCAATACTGCAGCCCTAGCCAACAGCTGAGTCCCTGGGCCGCACAAATGGTCAGCATGCTCTCTGCTAACCATAAAGCTGGCGGTTCACATCCGCCCAGAGGCACCTTGGAGGACAGTCTAGTGACCAACTTCTGAAAGATCAACCACAGAAAACCCAGGGAGCGCAGTTCTACTCTGACACGTGTGGACCGCCATGAGTCGGAAGTGACCGACTGACACCTGGGCCTGGGAGCCAACAGCTTAGCTGCAATTTCATGAAAAACCCCGGTGTCAGAACTCAGAACGCCCAAATTTCTGACCCACAGAAACCACTGTCAGGTGCTAAATCTGGGGGTAATTTACTACAAAGCAACAGATAAGTAATTCACCATGTGAGGCTGGGGCAGGCCAAGGCAACGTTTTGTTCTGTTGGACACAGGGCTGCTATGAGTCAGAGCCAAGTGGACACCTAAGGACTACCACCATGCAGAAGTGAGAAAGGATTGAAGACTGAACCTCAGTTCCTAGTCTACATTCAGTCAGGACCATAAGAAGCAATAAACTATTCATTCATGCATTCAACAAGTACTTATCGGATGTCCGATATGGGCAAGGTATTTCCAAATGACATAGCCTTCATGTAGTTTATAATCTATAAAATAAAGAGAAATAATCACAAAGGGGCCCTACACAGCTTCCTCAGCTGTTGAAGTCTTCTTGCTCTCACTGGTTTACGCCCAAGCTGTGCTTTCACAACTCTAAGAGGCCCATCAGGGCCCCCTCCCCAGCTATGTGGAGTGTTCAGTGCAGGGCAGCGAGCCACATTCCCTCATATTCATCTTTACTGTACCACGTGCTCTTCCATCCAAGGGGCGGGGACATGGCCCGTGAGCCCATCTGGTATTGGGACAAGGAGGACTTCGTTGAGTACACTTTGTGAGGAGGAAATCCTAAGCACTCGAATTGCTGCAACTAATGACCAAGTGACAAGAGCGGCACGGACACAAGCACAGCTCAAGTCCCGCGACAGCAGCACTCCCGCTGGAACGGCCAAAGGAGAGGGGAAGGCCACCCCTTACTCCTCTCCAGGCTCTGCTGGGTCTCAAAGCAGCAGGAGGGCTGTGCTGCTCTAAGAAAAGCGGGAGCCGCCTCGCGTACGAAAAAGGGCAAAGGGCGAGCTTTCTCTCCCCCATCGACCACAAAGCCAGCCTCTGCCAAACCTTAACAGTGTGGGAGGCCGTCGGAGGTGAATGGAGCTCCAGACACAAAACCACAAGGAGACTCTCTCCTCCCGCCGGCGGCTGGGGTCGAAGTCAGGTGACTGCTCTGGGCAAACAGCAAACCTAAACAAAGATCACTCCCCACATGACTGACGAGAGGGAAGACGACTCTCCCAGTAAGCCCAGAGCTGCCCAGTCCTACCGCGGAAAACCATCAACTCTTGCTTCTTTGCAGCCCCCCGAAATTGGAGGAGCTACAAGTTATTCCGCAGCTGAGCTCCCAGGGATGCACCTGGAGGAACTTGGAACCCTATCCCAGGACACAGGCGCCGAGCACGGCGCTCGGCCCGGCTCTAAGCACGCAGGCGGGACCCCTCCCCACCAGCTGTCACCGGCCGCGCGGCCCGTCAGCCAGGGACGTCTGTTCCCCTCTGGCCGCTCCCCTAGAAGCCGCGACCCTGCAAGGCAGACGCTTCTTCCCAAGGCTGTGGCCGGGAAAGGGCGCCAGGATGGGCGCGGCTCCGTACCGACGGTGGCTTCGGGTCTGTCATCCCTCCCTCCCCCAGGGATGGAATGGGCTTCCCGGCCCCCAGCTCCGCGCGCCCCACCTTGTCGCCGAAGCTGCGGGCCATCAGCAGGTCCGGGCTGGGCGTGCTGTCACCGCCCACGGCCTCCTCGCTGCTGGAGCCGGCCAGCGGGTGCGGCATGTCGCGCAGGGAGTGGGGCCCCGTGGACGGCAGGGCCTTGGGGGGCCCGCCCGACATGGCGCGCACCGCCCGGGACGCGCCG